AACAATTATTCCCCAAAGTACAGTGCTGTTTTTCCCATGAAAGACTTCCAAAGACTGGTTTTATTCACCTGCCCAACATCAGTTTTTATTCACATGAGAATTTTTCCTTTTTGCTTTCTTCAGAGATGTTCTGATACTATTTTTTCCTCCCTGATACTGAAACAACTTTGCATATTGGTCGATACCAAGTACCAATGTGGTACATATGCATTAAAAGCGTAGACTACTAAGTCTGTATGCTCACTATCATTGTTGTATGGATGGCTCAGGTTCAATCCTTTTGTCAGAATCAGAGTCAGAGTAGGGCAAATCAAAACTTCGCTATCCTGGGAAATGAAATGGCAAAAGTTGGAAATGGAAGAAGCAAATATTGCTGAGAAGTAGCAGGGTCCTGTTTCAGGGCTAATAAATTACGTGGTATGGGATCGCTGCATAGAAATGCGTATTCGCTGATACCCAATACTGCTTTTTAGGCAATATCGGAGGAATTTCCAATACTGGTATTGGTATTTAAACAACTCTTTCTTCAGTCCCTCTCTAGTCAGAGGTGTTCTCACTAAATCTTTGTGAATTATTTAGCTTACCGGATGTCACCAGAGAGTGGCACAATAGTAATCATCAGTATGTCTCCACAAAACAAATGAGCCTGGAAGGTTGGCAACATGAGATACTGTGGCTGCTGAGATAACTGGACATGCTAGCCACTATAGCCAGACAAGCAAGTTGGATTGCCCACTAATTTGGTTGCTAACAATAAGTAAAAACAGTTTGTGCACAGTTTTGGCGGTGCAACAAAGCTAATATCCCCTCAAAGGGTAGCAGCAAAAAGTTAATCAGTGTTAAACTCTGATGCAAAAGCCCTGCACAGATTTACTTTGCCTGAAGCAAATCTACTGATTGCAGCTATTCCATTTTAATGAAGTGATTTTGGTATTAAATTTGAAAATAATTAACCAAACACAACTGAATACACCCAGAATACGAAGGCAATCAGTATGACTGCATGTCAAAGTTAAAATGATTTTATGCATTGACATTAATGACTCACCTGACATCTATTCATCTGTCATCATGAGGGAAACCCCACCCAAAAAATAACCTGAAATAAATATCATATTACAAAGTCATCATCCAAGAGAGCGCCACAGATCCTCCGATATCACCATAAGTTGTTACTACAGCACCCATCATAGAGGCTGAAGCTGTGTCATGCTATGCCCAGCCAAGGCACAGTAACCACAGCATGTTGTGCCCAGTCACCATAGTGACCGTATTTAGAGATCACCCTGCTGTGATTGACCACGGAAGAACTGAGGCTCCACCAAGCCTTTCGGTCTCCCATCGTCACTACAAGGAGCCAGCCGACTTTTACTGCGGGCTGCGTAGCGTGCCATCACAAGCATGAAAGTGTTTATTAAAACTACCGTATCTACAGTATACATTTTCTGAATTCACTTGGGATGCATAGTACAGTGTAAGCATGTTATTAGCATTTTCATTGTAGTAGAATATTTTTATCCCCCCATGTTTATGTGCAGTACTTGCTTTAAGTGTATTCAGTATGCATAGTATGCAGCTGCTGTACGCGATCTTGTATCTGTTCTGTATTCCTGAAGCCGTGTTGTGGGATTGTTGCTCCTTTAATTATTCTCTCATATTAAAGGATCAAAGGTCTCTGCCACAGTCAACCCCCTGCATTTCATTATAACTGTGCGCATACACACACACACACACACACACACGTGTATATATGCTTCAGTGTGCACACACATTAACATGGACACACATTGGGGGGACATTGGTTATGTTCAATTTTTGAATTTTTGAACGTGATTTTCTGTAATTATAAAAAAAAAGATAAATGTTAGCCTTTTCAAGTTTGCCACTGAAGAGCCCAGCATGTTAATTTTGATTTGGCTCCTTGGTGAGATTTTTCTTTATCAACCCAGAGCTTGCACCAGTCCTCAGAAGGGTGTCACTGATCACCCTCTGGCATGGGGGATAGAGCATGTTTTATTCTCCCGAAGTACTTTCATGTCTGTGTGCGTGTACGTAAGCCTGCCGTGTGTGAACATGTGTTTGTGTGTGTATTGACGCCCATGTGTGCGCCCATATGTGCGTATGTGCGTGTGTGTGTGTGTGTGCTGTTCTGTGTCTTTGCCCTCTCCCCTCTGCTCCAGCACAGGACCAAACCAATCCTCTCCACTGCTTCCTGAGGACTCTTCCACTGATAGGCTGCTCCAGCACTCTGTTCTTTGACACCCACAGCTCTTCAATGCTCCCATGATGCCCCTGTGCTGTCACCACTCTGCTGCATGGTGGCTGGCAGGAGGGGAGGATGTGGAATGTAATTAGGGCGTACCCAAGCCTACCAGGGCCAGAGAGAAGGAAAGGGAGGAAGGAAGGGAAGAGGATAGAAAGAGGGCTGACAGTTTGACATCAGTAGAGCACACCGTCTCTGTAATTGCTGGCGTGCATATGGCGCAGGCCGAGGTTGGAGGCTTGTGGGGGGGCTAGGTAGGTAGGATAGAGAGGAGTCAGAAATAGGATGGCGAGCAGGAGTAGCTGCAGCCTCTGAAGCAATAGATTGGGGATGAGTGCATGTCATCCAAAGTGGGAGAAGACGAGGGAGGAGCTCGAGGAGAGGAAGGGGGTGAGGAGGAATGCAAATTGGGGGATGGGAGATCGGGAGATGGGGGTAAACAGGGCTTGAGCGGTGCAGAAGAAGCTTTAGGTGACTGACATGTATAGCAGGGGGTGCAGCATGTTGACACAGCACACATCTATTATTACATACACATACACATGCACATACACGCGCACAAACCCACACACACACTCCCACAGCTGGTGCATCTAAAAGTAAACAATTCTCAGCCTCAGAGAAGTCTCAGAAAGCACCACAGGTAGTGCGAAGAGTCAACGGGCTGCTGTGTGTGTGTGTGTGTGTGTGTGTGTGTGAGTGTGAGAGAGAGTGTGAGAGAGAGTGTGTATGCTTCACTGGCTTATGTGCTTTTGTGTTCTCTTAACCAGACAATCGAGTGCCTTTGTTCAGCTGTAATTAGCACACACAGGTAATAGAGCCATCGTACATGGCCACACACACACACTCACAGAAGGGATATTGATCAGGGGAGTGTGTGTGTGTCCTGAGAGAGGGATCCTGATCGATGGTGTCCTGTCTCGTTGATAGATCGCCAATTCTGCACGCTAGCTATTGAGCAGGAAGCAGCTTTGGTGAGACCTGCCTTCAGGGTCTCACCTGCATCCCCATGACACACACACACACAC